CATTCCTCAGGGCTGTGTATCCTGTTCCTTGGTCCCCACCTCCACTGAGGCTCACACACAGCCCTGCACGTACACACACTCCAATCTCATCTACCTCCATCCCTGGTCCACTCCTACAATGGTGCCCACTCTTCCTGCGGCCCACGTTACACAGTACAGGAAACGCTGTTGTTGGCCTTTTCTCGCCCACTCTTCCTCACTCACTCACTCACTCACTCATTTATTTATTTATCTGCTCTTATGATTTCACAGCTTCAGGTTTGTTGCCAGACTTTGTTTTTTTATATGAATAAGAGGGAAAACGTTCTTGTTGTGATTGATGTCCTGCTGCGTGTTTATCATTATGATGATGATGATGATGATGATGATGTCATGGAAATAAATTCAACAATGGACTGGTTTGTTTGATTTTAGTGAATGTAAAATGAATATTCTGTAAAGTGAACATTAATGTATTTACATAATGTAACAGGAAACAGAACTTTTCAAATTCATATAAACAGCGTTAGCCACAGTAAGCTAGCAGTAAAGTAGAGCCTCCACACACTGGACGTGCTCCACTAATAAGTACCATAAGAAACATCAATGTGCTAGTACTGATCAATGAACTCCATACCAATGTCCGCAAACTCCAGCCCTGTAGGTGGCAGTAATGTAACTGAAATTACAAGTGTAAATATTTGAAAAGTTCTGTTGGACGACTGGACGTTTCACCTCTCAGCCAAGAGACTTCTTCAGCTCTACTACAGCAAATATATATATACTAGCTAACATATATACGTAACTAGCTGGTTAACTGCTAAAGGCTAAAAGGGCACTTACCATAGAAATTGAAGTCTCCTCCACACGTCTCCACCCCAGGTGTTGACTAGTCCAAACGTGGTCGTCAGGTCAATCTGTACAAGTAATTAAACAAAAGTTAATATAAAATATGAGACCATTCAGGCTGTGACAGATTCAGCAAACGAACTCCAACTCTTTCTTCTGGGTTCAGTTTGTCTTGATAAAACACCGACTCCAATGATTCCATCCCATTGATTATTTAGACATCAGTGAAGCACATGTTTGAATCTCTGTGTCACAAACCAACGCCAACACATTTTTTTTCTCCTCTAAATTATTAACAGAACTCTCTGAAAACAGTTTTCTTTGAAACCAAACATCTGAAACAGAGACAGTGTTGACTGTGACTGTGGTGTGAAGACCTCGTCTCTGAGCTCAGACACAAACACCGAGTGTTTCTGACACGGTTCACAAAGACGTTTCCCACAGTCATCACACAGTTAATCCTGTGTAACAGCATCCTTGACTTGTATGTTGAAACTGTAATTAAATGCAACCCAATTATGCCAACAATCAATTCTTATAAGCTGCAGTAATCACAGTATACGTTGGCTGTGATTGGCCAATTATTTGCTCGGAGCAAATATGTCGTTAGACATGAACACATTATGTATTTTCTTTTAAACAACGTGACTGACGGCGGTGTGATGACGGACACCGAACCCTGTCGCAACGTTTAACTAAAACTACTGCAGAACTCTGGTTCTTCTTTGGCCGATCTGTGGAACTGAGGAGCTTTTGTTCCGTTTGGGGAACAGGAAGTGGCTCTTACACAACCAGCATTAGCAAAGCGAATGGATGAACGAGATATTCAAGTTCATTTCTGACATCAGAGGCAGCCACCAGTAAAGACCGTTTCGGGCGAGGTGTGCTGATTTATAGCCGCTCGTCATCCGACAGCTGCTCGGACGTGAGTCAGCGTCTGTTCTCTCTGGTGTCGCCCACATGGAGAAGATTTACTGTTCAACAAGTTGTCACAAAGAAACGGAATTCTGAAAAACTTTTGCTGAAGCATTCAAGAAAGAGAGAGAAAGAATGGCGTGGGTGTGCGCGTGCATGTGCTATAATCCTCTAGGCCTCAGGGGGGTGCACTCACATCCAGTCCTTTCCTGTTGGTTCCCATTAATTCCACCTGTACACCCCTCCTCCCAGTCCTGGACTCTAAATCCCCAGATGTAGCCTTAACCCAGGACCAGGATCTTTACTCTCTCTCTCTCTCTCTCTCTCTCTGTCTCCCTCTCTGTCTCCCCCTTTCTGTCTCCCCCGCTCGTGTTTCCCCCTTCTGTTTTTACAGCACCACATGTGAACTGATATGACGAGCACATTTCTTCAAATCAATAGTCGTCTGGGTGACACACGTAGAGCAGCTGTCACACCATCATGATAATGTTACAGTGGCACCAGGAGAGAGATGCTAACTGAGCTAACTGAGCTAACTGAGCCAGCAGTGGTCTGACACCGACCCCAGAAACTGTCAGAGGTGGAGACGGGTTGATGACACTCCGCCCTGGTCATGGTCAGAAGTGATTCTCCCCCCCCAACATGAACAGCTACAGGAAGTAGGGACCAGTTCCTGTCCCAATCAGTGGAGGCTTATTTTCCCATGTGAGTGAATCAGTTTGGGCACATGAATAATGTCGACCAATAATATGCACAAACAGGCTGTTCTCTTTGCTGCTCTGGGGTCTGAGCCACGGCCGACTGTCGGGGGAGGGGGGGCGTGGGGGGGGGGATCATGATGTTTTACCATGTGCTTGTTAAGCCTCAATTATTAAGGCAGGATCCGCAGCTCCGTGGCACGGCTAACCTTTTGAACTCGGCACAGACGAGTTTGCTTTGCATGCATACTGGCATACATGCTCCTGCACGCACACACACACACACACGCACGACTCCATATGGCACAATCAACCTTTTGAACCTCAGACAGACACCCACTCAGATGAATGCACATGCACACATGTCCACATGCACAGCCTTTGACTTCACCTTGTGTGAGTGCACTGAAGGATACTTCAGTTCCTGATTAGTCGTCTTTCCTGCTGTTCGTTCTTGGAAAGCCACATTAAATATGACGGCGGTGAACGGAGATGAACCTCCTGCATCGCAGACGGAACCTTCAGAAAAGACACAAACACAAGAACGTAGTGTGTCGTGTCCACACACAGCAGCGCTTGTATTCACACATTTAAAGAGTAACGCTGCAGTAATAGCCACGCTAATTTTCATTAGCATGTACGTTAACAGTAGCTCTGAAGCTAGTCGTTAGAGATTGGACGACATTTCTCCATGTAATTGGTAGTTATTGTGCTGTACACGACATCATTAGTCTGTTCAGTAAAGCTACTAACTAGGTAGTAGTATGTAAAGCTACTAACTAAATATAAAATATATTTGATGACGCTCGTCAGCACAGGCCCCACTAACAAACAACAAACAACAAACAACAAACGCACTAACAAACAACAAACAACAAACGACAGACGACGACACAAACTCTTCTCAAAGCTCCGTGTTCAGACTCTTCATCTGGCCTTCGCCACGTTCTAGAACCAAACATTACCATTCTGTGCTGCCCGTTCTAGTTCCCCGGGTCTTTTATATCATTAGGAGGGAAATAATAAAAGAGACCGCGGTCGGTGACGAAGACAATTAGGAAAGCCATAAAGTGAGGAAGAAGAAACAGTAAAACGAGTGGCTCAAATGGTGTGAAAATATCAGAGATCATTAAATCTCACCCTGACGTCGTGTGCCTCTGCACGCACGCTACTCTTCTCCGTGGTCGTGTTAAACGGTGCCTAAAGCCCTGCCTGAGGCCGGGTCTTAAAGGTCACGATCTCTGTGACGCCGGAGGAGGTCACTCAGAGTTCACAACGCCAGTCTGACCATATTTGGCTGCTGGCTTTGCTGAAGGCTTAGGGCTGAAATTCAAAATGAAAAAGAGCAAAGACGGGGGAAAAAAATAAAACAGGAACTGGAATTTTCATTGGTAGCAGCTGAACATGGAGGGACCAACATGGAGCTGGGCTTCAGGCAGGAAGTGTGTGTCTGTGCATCCTGGTGCATGTGAGTCTGCGTGCATCCATAAGTGCATACATGTCTGTCTGTTTATTCACAGGCGGGGGGGGCGGAGGGGGGGTTAATGCAAACCAAACCTGAAATGTTTCCATGTGTGTGTGTCTGTTGGTACAGATGTGTGTAGGAGTGTGCGTGTGTGTGTGAGAAAAACGTATTAGAACAATATGAAAAGGATTAGGCTGTAGAGTGTGTGTGTGTGTGTGTTTTTGGCAGAGCGAAACAGAGAGAACGAGAAGAACCAGGTTGACTCTCTCAGGACCAACGTCTAAAATATGATGAGTCCAATCTTTGATACAACAGTTCCAGATCAAACCCACAGCCGGCCTCAGTTTGAATCCCTTTTTACTCCAACCATGACGACCAGGTTTAAATTTAAATTCTACGGTATTTTGTTGTTTCACTTTATTTTAATGGTCTAGTTATCAAACTCTACAAAGCTAGAACTAAAAAAAAAGTTATATATATATATGATTAGAAAAAACGTTTCTGGACCTTTTCTGTCAAATATTTTTTTTATCCAATTGTGCTTTAGATTTATTTATAACTAAATTAAATGAGCGTAGGCTGCGGTCAGTCTCACTAACCTGTTCCACCTGCATCACCAACACTTTCTTTCGTGTCTCATTCCTCAGGACAACGACGTCTGATTGCGTCCTTGTTTCACAACACTTCAAAACAAGCTAATGTTCTGCTACTTTTTTACCCTGATGCAGACGTTATCTGATGAACCCTGAACCATAACTGCACCTCCGTGAAAGTGAGTGTTGATCATCGTGTATCAACTCCTTTCTACCCTGTCAATAATTCAGGCTGAAAGATTTCAGTTTCAGGTCCGTGTGATTTGAAGCACATTTAAATCCAACCGACAGAGAAACAAAAACTCTGCTGAAGAGGAAAAACATCCTGGTGTAAATTTGATTTGTCATCTTCCTTCATTCTGATTGGCCACAATGTTCCGTTCCCTTCGTGTTAATTTTGATCGTGTTAATGGCGTCCTGCTTGGCACTAAGGTTGAATTGAGTTGAATCAACAGGAATGTTTTGTTAACAACGATAAAGACGACATCTTGGCTCGTTGACAGAAGGTTTTTTTTAGACTTCCAGATGGACGCTCGGATAACACTGTTGTTGTGTACACACTCGGCAACAAAAAGTTTTCATCAAGCCTATGCTTGTGTGTGTCCCTGACAGTAGGAAGGTTAGCTTAGCAGGGCTAACGAAATGCTCACGGTCCATGGGGGGGGGGCGGGGGCGTGAAGTGTCTCATTAGTCCTGTCAAAAATACACACCAACCCTAATGAGCTAAATGTAACGAAGAGAAATTAGGAATCATTAGGACGGAGGGGCATTTATGACAGGGGCAGGTTTAAAACACGGACAGAGAGAGAGACAGAGAAAGACAGAGAGAGACAGAGAGTGAGAGACAGAGAGATCACCCCTCCTCCAAACAGAGGGCAACCTGCACGATCTTGCATGCACACGAGAGGAGCAGACAGGCACGCAGCTCAGCGACAAGGCACGAACAGAGCTAAATTACTCCCCCCTCCTCCTCACCCCTCCTCCTCCCTTACTTTCTCTCTCTCACCTCCTCCTCCTCCTGCTGCTGCCACATAAACCAGCAGTCCTGTGTCCAACACATGTTGACCTGGTTCTGATGAGAGATGATGAAGACGTTCTCCTACTTCAGGTGAAGACTTACGACTACAGAGTCTCTCATGAACACTAATGAATGGCTGCGGTTCATTAAGTCACTAATTTAATTCACGGGTCTATAAATAGATCGTGTTCATTTCCTGAATAAAGGCCTGAAAAATAACGGCCGAAATAATCCAGCAGAATAAATGTGATATTTGGACATTTCACTACTGAGCTCTGGGTCGACTGTGTTATCATCATCGTCTCTGGGTCATGTGGTTATTCAACATCCAATCAGATCCAACCAATGAGCGGCTGTGTGAAAGTTCTGATCCGGGATCTAAAGTGGACCTTAGTTGAGGTCTTATAAACGCGATACAACTGGGGTGAAAACTCCAAACTACTATATTCGCGCCGCGTGATAATCTTTACATTATCGCCTTATTCGCTCGCCAAAGAACAAAAAAAACCCTACCTGCTGTAGCAGAAGGGCGGGAAAACCACCCGCCGCCGTGTCTGGGTTCATGACGTCGTCCGGAGTAGCACCGAGCTACGGATGAAGTTCACCGTCTCCACCGGCCGGCTGACAGTAGTAAAACAAGTCACGGAAAGGTTAACAATTCACCAGAGAGTCCCACTTCCTGGCTAACTTTAGCCCATGTCTCTTCTTCTTATTCCGGTCCCGATAAATCGTAGCGGCGTTGTTGGTGCCCACACACGGCGATGAAAACATTGTCCGCCATTATCTACAAACTTTTCTGCTTAGTTTAGTAAGGTGACGTCGTGATTATCTCGTCGCTGATTGGATGCCGCGGTGCGACATTCAGAATCGCGCCCCGGATATTAAAATTAAATAAAATTGTCGTGCTATTTACATTGATTATGCTGCTCGATTCGCGCCTGTCGCTTTGGTCACCTTAACTATTACATAGTTAAGGTGACGGTATTTAATTTAGAAATTATTTTAATTTTAAAATTAAGAGACTAAATTAAACCCTTTCACCTCTGGCTTTTTTTATATGTAATAGTTAAGGTGACGGTATTTAATTTAGAAATTATTTTAATTTTAAAATTAAGAGACTAAATTAAACCCTTTCACCTCTGGCTTTTTTTTTATCTTTCCTTAAAATTAGATTCTGATAAAAGAGAGGGCATTGTTGGAGAGTTTCGCTTCTACTAACTGCCAGTTAAAATGGAAAGTAAATCTTTCAAAACTTCCTGTCACGAAAACCATAGGAGTAAATTGAAGGTTGGGGTCATGACCTCTCCGTCCTCTGTGGTGTACGGTCTCTGGAAAAGAAATAAGACCAGCAAATGGAAAACAAGGCAGGCAGAGAAAGGAAGAGGAGATAAAGGGATTAGGGACGGACAGACAACAGACGGAGAGAAAGATAAAACAGGAGGGAAATGAGAGGTGGACGAGCTGCACCAGGGGGAGGGAAGAACGGGGGAGGAACAGGGGAGGAGGGATAGATGGCTGTGCCTCCCCCTGGACCACATCAGATGATGGACTGAGGGGTGAGGGAGGGGAGAAGCCCCCTGTCACAGCAGCAGTGACTCAACACAAGTCTGGAAACAAATGGATCGAGTGCAAAAATAATGATTTTTGTTTTTTTTACTAAATTAAAGTTTAGGTAGAAAATGAAAAATACCTCAGAATTAGACTCCAAACAAGGAGATAAAATACCAACGTGGTGTCACTTTTGGCCTGTGGTTCTTTTTTTTCATAAAATAACTTTAAAGATATTAAAAGTCATTACTGGTTTGTGATAGTGGTATGAAATTGCCCAGACTGATTATATTCACTCTTTTAATTAGTTTTAGGCAAATTGGGTCTATTTTATGCTAATTTGGCAGTGACCTAATTAAACCTCCTTTTTCAAATCTTTACTACGATAATGATCAGAGTGTGGAGCTGACTGAACGACGATACAGGCCTGAGATGATTTTCTCTTTTTCAGTTTTATTTAATCAATGTTACAATAAACTAACATAAATAAACATTTTTATGAACAAAAGGCACACAGTTCAAATATAAACAGAAAACCATCTGTACAGTTTGAATCCTGTCGGCCGTCCCTCAGTTAGAGAGCAGTTCACGGGAGATGAGTTTTGCTGACGAAAGGCTAACGGTCACAGCAGGGAACTGGACGCTCCGCGGACACCACGCCAAACGGCCACAGCACTTGTTCTCTGTCCGTAAGGACAAACCCACGTCCATTCTCCTGGTGGAGGAGGCCACGAAATCCAGGTCCAAACAATGCAGCGCAGGCTGCACGTACGATGGATAAAACATCTGGGCCGCAGGCCGGGTAAACACTCACTGTGGTTTATCTTCCTGCAACAGAATGTGTTGGTGGTTGTGTGGAAGCCTGTGATTGGTCACTGCTTCATCTCTATAATAATAGGTCAGAGGTTCATTCACAGATCTGGCTAAAGGCTAACTGTCAATCACAGCACCTGTCCTGATGAGTCATGTGACTAAGACTAGATTTGATTCTCTCCTGTTTCGGCTCCAGACTAGCATGTTAGCTTGAATCCTGTGTGTGTCTGTTTTGTCCAGACAAAGTGGAGTTGATGAGTTCTGTCCAGTGCATTTCCGCTGTTAATTAGCATTATCATGCCCCC